TGCGTGCAAGTTCAAAATGACAGAGTAGTGAAAGAAAATTTAGCAAAAGAAACTGCACTGCAACTTTCATTACAAAGCACGTGTTCATGCAAGTTCTAAAACATACTTTATTATTTGAACTCAAAAGCCTTACAAATGCAAACCCTTTGGCACGTGCGCATACAAGTCAAACATGCGCACAAGACGAAGAAGATTTCTTGAAGTCAATTCGTAAAAGATCAAAAAAGACAACGGTCGTCTTCAAAACCTCGACAAAAGAATCCTAGTTAAACCGGGTACAATACGTAATATTCGCTAAGGCAAGTGTGATGAACCTAAGAAGAAGCTGTGAAGAGAGAGGAGCTCCTCCAGACCAGGCGAGAGGGACACCCAGGTATGTGCCAATCCTACATTGTCTTTGTATGGTTCGGGTGTCGATTACCTTATTACCTTAATTATATCTGAACGCGCTTATAGCGGCTCTCCACAATTTAGAATCAACTTTGCAATAACAGCACGGATGGTAAAGAAATGAAAGTTCAAAGACCACCGTGTTTTCATAAGCAATTTTCTCTCACAAAGATAACTGTTAATAGCTGTTGGAATAAAGATGGCGGAGAGGAGTGCCTGTCGCTTTTGGTACTTGAGAAGTTTCTTCTGCTGTGCGTGCTCAATGCTCAAGCGATCTGTCAAACGCGCGTAGCTCAAATAATCATTAGATTTTCAACGATTTTCCAATTTTCTGCGCGATTTTCTTGATTTATCCTCCCGTAAGAACCTTCTATACAGTATTAGGAAACTTTTGAAGTAAAGGTAAATGAAGTTGGTAAAGTCGTTCTCAAGTTATGGCGTGACCACGCGAAATACGGATTCATTTATATAACGTATATAGATCAGTCAAAATATAGAAACGTGAGTTTTAGATAACATATAAAAAAATATATGAAATAGCCAGCGATTATCCTGACGTTCGCTATTGTATATGCAATGTAGCAAGGCACCATTTTATTGTGGTTCAATCTGGTTTTGTGACCACTTGTCGTTCTGTAGTTCTATGATCCCAAACTTTTATTTCTTTTCCGGTTTCGACATAAATATGGTATTAATGAAACAGTTTTTTTTAAAATTAACAAAGCTTTGAAGTTTTGGGGCTAGCCTCACGTCAAAATCGTCATAATAACGTAACGGAAGGCTTAACGATTCGTTATTTTTGTTGCAATAAAAACTGTCTAATAATTTGCTCCGGCGTGATATAACAATCACCGCGTTCACTAGCACTTCGAACAGCGCCAGCGCTAAGGGCCGTATCGTCAGTCGTTCCTACAAGGGTAAGGCAGCTGATTTTCATTCCTCCAGGAAGGCTGGGGTATTTCCAGATTTCTACTGTTTCGTGTCAGCATCCGCGCTCTCCTGTTGGGAGGCTATGTTTTCTTTTTGAATTGTAAGACATTTCAGGCCGATATAACGGATGATATAAACCAAAAGCATGAACAATTTGATGCAAATGTATATCTGTAACATAACCTCAAAATAGAGCGCTTACACGGACTATTAGAGAAAGGCGTCCTACAATAATTATAGGAACGACTGACGATGTGGCCCTAAGACTCAGCTGCCGAGTGGTGGACAACCCCGCCAGTAGTGTGATCTCGCGATATATCTCACGCCGAAGTAGATATTTATCTAAAGGACTAAGTGAAGAAGATTATTATAAGTTCCTAGTTTTCAAATCCATCCAGTAACCTATGTCGCTGCCGATGTGTAGGGCCAAGGCCATAAGTTGGAACGTGCCGTTAATTTTACTACCATGAGCTGCTGGATGTTGCTCTAGCCTTACTCGGAATGACACGTTTACTCCTCACATTAGAAGATCATAAAACGTTTACTACTCGCTGAGCCATGTTTTATGTGCCTCAACCGAAGATGGTTTCACACGTAACTGCGTTTTTAATCTACTTCTTCTCTACCTATTTGACGTAATTTACAGACCGAAGTAAGAGTCTTCGGGTGCTTGTTTCCAAGTAATTTATATGTGATAAAGGTACGAGGGCCATTCTTCATGTAAGAACCGTTTTGTAGTGGACTTTCAACATGATCACCGCGAACACTTAAACATTTATCAAGTTGTGGCCGAAAAGTTAGACCAGTCAGTAACTGTGTCCTTTCAAGCGCTCTCCTACAAGAGATTCCTTAAGTTGGAAAAAGATGAAAGAGTGATGGTGCCAAGTCAGGGCTGTATAGTGTATGATCCAGTAATTCCAAACTAAACTGCGTCTGTGTTCTTGTAGCAATGTGATGCCGACCGTTGCCGCGAAGAAGAATAGAGAAGCAGGCCCCGCCGGTGCCTTTGTATAGCGTGCAGGCTCTGAAAATTGTGGGCCAGATTTTACGTGTAAAAAGGGCCTGCTTTTTGGAATTGGAGCCAACCCTTTTTTCCGAGGTCAAACTACTCCATTTTAGATTTTTATGTAAAATTTAGTTTAATTCACTTACGCACATTAATTGCTTGTACTGTACTTGTTACCATGAGTGCATCCAGTGCTGAAGTGCTTTATGTCAAAAATGACAATTTTGATAGGTAGGTAGATTTTGACAATATTTCTATGAGAATTTTATCGAGATTGTAATTTTTGTCATAAAGCGCTACAGCACCGCAGTTCCCTGAATCCTGAGTGTACCGGATATAAAAAGGAAAAAAATACTATAAAAGTTGCTTTTTTACATTTTTTTATCCATTGTATGATTAAGATAAAAGAATAACTATTGAAAACTAAAATCACAAAAACTTTTTAATGCAGCTAAGTGCTTTATAAGCTCAGACTTATACATATAAAACTCAATGTTAATGAGTTTAAAAATATATAATAACGACCTAGAGAAACCGAAATTTAAAATGTTTACATACTACGCGTAGTTGGAAACCCAATGTTCAATGTACGCTAACTTCACAGTTCAAAAAGTGATTATAGATACAGTTTATTTGACCGACTAAGTCGGTGGTATGTTAGTGGAAAAACGAGCCAGATTTCGAAGAGAGGGGCCAAGGGGTCTTAAAGCGGGCCAGATCAAGCCCTATCGAGCCTCTTGTGGCAAGTTTGAATAATGTGTCAGAGCACCTCTCAATATTTATAGCTGGATCAAAGTGCATTTAAAAACCGAATTACTGAGCGCACTTCACAATCGGAGCGCTTACTGAGTGGCATGGTGACAAAACAACCAAACGACCAACATCGACAAAGACGTGAAACGTAGTGGTGGCCTACTGAAAGACTGGCCAAGAGTGTCTGAGGTTAAACAGATGTCAAGTGACAGGATGCGCAATGGGTTCATACTTTAAAAACTGCCCTCATTTTTATACATCCTTTTTGGCAGAACAGCGGAAAATTGGTGGTTTCTTAATTTAAAAAAGCACGATAGCTTTAGGCGCGATAGCACTGGAGAAATCCGTTTAATGAAACCGATTTCCTGAAATTGGTTTCCGCGAGAGTTTGGGGAACAGTTTTCTATAACTCCGGTTTCACATTGTAAGTGGTAATTATTTCAGTGTGGTCGGATTGAAGGGTTATAAGATAAATGAGGGGCAAATATACCAAAAGGGATGTTTTCAAGATAGTATCTGCTGAAGTACAAACTACAATATAAGTAGTGGATATTCTTCACTATACATACTGGGGATGCTTCAAATACCACTCTCAACATTGGGATCTCTGAAGCGGTAAGAGATACGAAGTAGCTTGAGTGGGGGCAAAGTTGCGTATTTGGGTAAATAGCAAGATGCCGCTTAGAAAGTTTAGAAATTCAAAGGACTTCCGAAGAGAGACGCACAATACTGAATTTTCCCAAAATCGTTTTAAATTTTTTCCTCACTTTACTTGTAGTGCGATTTCAAGATTTATGCACATTAATATTGCGAATTTTTCTCCTTTACTAGATGACATAAATAGAATTTCAATTTGAGATTTCGTCTCTTGTCCTACAGCATCAACTTTATCTTTTCTTAAGGACGACATATTGGAGTTTTTACCGTAGTTAGAAGAAAAAAACAAAATTTCCTAGGTAGGCCTAAAAATTATCAGATCATTTGTTTCATATACCAGATTTTGCACCAAATTATTTTTTTTACTGACTTTATTTGAGACTGGATTTCAAAATATATTGCACGTTGAGATAGCCACTTGTTTTCCTTTACAAGATGACCTAGTCAAATTTTCAGTTCGAGGTATCTTTTTTCGACTTGCATCGTCAACTTGATTTTTTCAAATGGACGCCAATTGGGAGCTATCGAAATACGCAACATTGACCCCATTTAAGCAACTTCGTATCTCTTACTGTTTCCGAGATCCCAATGGTGATCTTCGAATTTGAAACGCCTGGCATATGGCTTCGTTGATACCAACCTGTAGTCAGGCTGAAGGTGCATATTACAAGTGGACTTGGTATAAGTCAATTTTTCGACAGTTGTGACACTGAATTCGTATTTTTAGTATCATTTTTCAAAAGTATTTGAGTGTTTGCAGATGATTATTTTGGTATTAGATGATTTCAAAACAAGATACTTCTTGCAAATAACGGCACAAATTTAATAAAGCACCTTGGCGACAAACAATGCAATGTAAACATAGGCTTAGTTGATTCTAAGCTTCGGATTCGAGGGTTAGACCCATTGATTTTCAATGGGCAGCGTCCTTGCTAAAACCTGAGAATTGTGTTACTGATCACTGATCAACAGGTGAACCAAATCCTTTTTTCTTTCTTATTACGCAGCCATCACTTCAAAAATAATAATGAAGAAGAAGAGTTTTCTATGTACATGTACCCTTTCAATTGCAACTGATTTCTTGAAGCTCCAGTGTATAACCGCGTACAAGATTTGTAGGCATCTTTTTCGGGTCCCAATTTTACCAGCTGCCTCAAAACTGATATTTTCAGTAATAACCAGTTATATGAAGGCGACATTATATTTTACGAAAATAATAAAGCATGCAGAAATAATGATTTATCAATATAAATTCTCAACTCACCTGAGCTCATAAAATAAGGTATCCTAAATCTACCGGACAGTACTCTATCACGAAGAGCTTGTAAGGAACAGCCATCGAACGGTAACGCGCCACACACCAGGACGTACAGGACAACTCCCAAACTCTGAAAAGCAAAACAGAAATAGGAAAAAGGAAAAATAGGCCGACATGGAGAAAACTATATTGCAATAAAAAGCACGGACACAATTTAAGGTACTGTCCGTCGTAACACTTTAAATATTCCCAAAACTTGTAAGCTATTACATAGCGCAACTTTTGAGGCCTTGCGCTGAATACGATTAAATTTAGTGCCAAAAGAGAAAGATAAGCTTGAAAATCACATTTCTTCTAATCTCAAATTGTTTATTTGATCAGTGAGCGTCGTCAGTCGTATCTTAACTTACCCAAATATCGATCTCGGGTCCGACGTATTTCTTTCCTTCAAAGACCTCTGGAGCGGCATAAGGAGGTGAACCGCACCACGTTGACAGTTGTCCTCCTGGAGTGTAGTAGTTGGAAAAGCCGAAATCGGCTATTTTTATATTGTTGTTAGAATCTAACAATAAATTTTCAGCCTGAAACAAAACAGAATGGGAACTAGTATTATGATTTCATTATTTCGAGAAATTAATTAGAACTTCAAGTGCAATGAAAATAGTAGGAAAAATAAACAGTGAAGAACCACTTGTCGTTTTGTCACCTCATTTCGCTTCGCGACTCAAATTTGAACGAAAAGACATGGCTCCGGTAAATACGCACATCAGGAACTGATATAGGTTTTTCGTGAAAATCAGCGAAGAGCCCCAAGAGCCTCATTTTTTCTGTGAGTAGGATTACGCGAAGCTTTATCGTTTTTGATGGCCATGCTCGGAATCAGCATCCAAAATTGCTCCAGTGTACGTTTCGTGCACTCACTGGTACGCGGTACGAAAGTGCCAATTTTGCATAGAAAAACTTCAAGATGTGAAGGCATTATTAGAAACAAAATCCTGCGTGTCTATAATCATGACCAGAACTTGTTTCGTTATCAACTTCGGCCGTAGAAAGGACAAAAGATGCGAATTTTTGACCGGGTTTATTGGTAGGTCCCAAAAGGACCTTTTTTCTACTTCAAATAGGACATTTTAGCTTGGAGCCAGGAATTGTATCTTCAGAATAAGCTTTGAAGTTTAAAGCCGATAAACTCTTCAAGAATTCTGACAAATACGTATACATACATGTATGTGTCGTAGCCATGTCATTCCATGAAGAATAGTCAAGCACATCTTTAAATGCTCACATTTCATCAAATGGCCAACAAAATTTGACCAAATGGTTAAATCATCAACATTATACGATTTGATCAGCCAGAATTGTTCGTAAATATGCCGTTTGAGCACTACCGCTAATTTTACCTTAAGAGCTCATAGGAGAAACAAAAAATTCACCAGCTGCAAAATGTTCGTCTAGCACATTTCATGGTCTCGCCGGTTTGTAAAAAAAAGGAGGCTGTGTTTACATTTTTGTTATCGTAAATTCTCCACACCGATTCATTTAATTCATCTGAGTGGTGCGTCAAACTAGATAGTAAATAACATTACCTTAGTGTTAAAATGCAGCGTTATTCGTATGCGGAACTTGCGGATATGCACTTAATTTACGGAGAAGCTGGTGGTAACGGAAGACGAGCCTCGCGAATCTACGCCCAATGGTTTCCAGAACGTCCTCATCCACATAACGCCATTTTTGCAAGGATTCATGGACGTCTTCGTGTCAGTGGCAGCATCAGACACCTCGCGGGAGCAGGGCGGCCCTTCACGAAGCGCACAGTAGAATTTGAGGAAGCGATTCTGCATCATGTAGAGGCCAATCCGCGTACAAGCGTGCGTGCTATTGCACATGGTATGGGAGCGTCTCAAACTACTGTTTGGCGGGTTCTCCATGATCAGCAACTACACCCATACCACCTTTTAAAAGTCCAAGCCATGGGTCCAGAAGACTACCTGCCGCGTCGACGTTTTTATCGTTGGTGGCTGCAGCAGGAGTTGAGGCAACCAAACTTTGGTTCACTGACGAGTCCTGTTTTACAAAGGACGGTTATTTCAATAGCCGTAACAGTCACATTTGGGATGAAGAAAACCCTCATGCCATAGCCATCCATAGAGACCAACATCAGTTTTCAATTAACATCTAGTGCGGCATTGTGGACGAACATATCATCGGGCCATATTTGCTTCCACCACGCTTGGATGGGCATGCTTGTGGTCGATTCTTACAGCATGTGCTAACGGAACTATTAGAAAATGTGCCACTGAACATAAGAGCCAACATGTGGTTTCAACACGATGGCGCTCCAGCCCACTTTTTTTTACAAGTGAGGCAGTATTTGGACGACAAATTTCCAAATAGGTGGATAGGCCGAGGTGGCCTTGTGCCTTGGCCTGCGCGGTCACCCGACCTGACCCCACTGGATTATTTTCTCTGGGGCCATCTGGCAGCTTTAGTGTACTAAACTCCTGTTCCCAACCAACAAGAGCTACTGGGAAGAGTGATGGCCGCGTCCGCACATGTCCAGGACATACCGGGGGTATGCCACAGAGAGGAGCACACTTTGAGCAATTACTGTAGGTAAGCTGTTCCAAGAAACTGATCATTTTTTTTGCTGCAGCCCAATCGGCATATTTCCGAACAGGGGTTTATAAGGCAAAATTGTTCATTTTGATGCCCTCTACAACCCCTATCATTTTGTCGCAATAATTATGGAACACCCTGTATATTTTAGAATTGTTCGGGATGTATTAAATACTATAACTTTGTTATATAAATAATGAATACCTTTTCTGAGTAATCAAAAATCAGTTTTACAGGCGTTGAACATCTGAAAGCGACCAAATTGAACTTTAGTTTGTTATTGTAGATCACCTAAAGTTTAGCGAAGGCCCAAATAAGGTCAGTATTTTGTAATATTCGTCCACCACTTAAAACAAAAACGCAAAAGAGCATTCTGTCAGTAAACAATCGGTTGAATGAAAACAAAACGGTTTCTCTTCTTGGCATACAAATTAATTGTGTTCTCAAATGGGATAGGCTCTTTATGCAAAAAACTGTCAACACAGTTATTCATATTGCGACAATTACAACGCACTTTTAAATGCATATTTCAGCATATTTTACTCGCATTTGATGTATGGCATCATGATCTGGAGAGGATCATGTCACGTTGTACGTGCATTCGCAATGCAAAAACTTGCAGTGATGATTAGAGCAGGTGCTAAGTTCAATCAGCACTGCAAACCTCTCTTTCAAATGTTGGGGATACTGCCATCGCCATGTATCTATATCTATATATATATATAGATACATGAAAACTAAAATAGCTACACAATCCAATCAGAAATCCACAACTGTGATACAAGACAGGCTGGAGTCCTGAGACTGCCACTTTGGAGAATAGATATATCTGCGAGAAATTCATTAAATCTGAATTTTCAAAACTAACAACCTCAGAGCATCCGCGAAGTGAATTATAATAAACTCAAAGAACGAATGAAGTGCATCTTCCTCGATCATTGTTTATACTTTTTTAAATTACAATTTTAAGTTTTGTTTGTGATTCATGTATCATGTGCCCTTCAAATCAAAATGTCTATAGAAACACCCAGGCTTGTTAGATTGACGTGTTTGCTTACGAAAACCCCAAGCTCCTACGTCGGTCACAGTAAGGAACTGGGGCTGAAACGGCTACATAAAAAGAACAAAGACCGTCAGCGTAAGCGGTGGCAGTATCGAGAAGCGTTGTGGCGGGGCAGACTTCGCAACCGGGAGCTCCTTATACTCCCACGATCCCCTCGATGACGTCATTAGGAAAATCGATGGGCGCGTCATCGCATCGTACAGCACCGACAATGCCCGCTGAAAAGATCGGTAGCGTAGTGGGAACGGAGGAAAATGTCACAACAAGGATGAATAATTACGGGATAAAAAATTCCTGTTAAGGAAGTATCGGTAAAATGACATTTTAAAAATTAAATTAAAAAAAATTAACCTCCACCAATATTGTAAATTAGAATGTGAGTGTGAAAGTTCACCAATTTTATCCTTCAAAACAAATTGCTCTAAAATAGAACAAGTCTAAAACACTCGTGGTCTTATAGGAGAAGGTCTGAGCTTTTAGACACATTGCAACCTCAAAAATAATGATTTTTCAGAAAGATTTCAAGCATTGAACCGCTTATGCCTGGAAAGCACTCGACGTTAGAGAGATGTTACTAAGACCCTTTTTGTTTATAGTGATCCGAAAGACCTGAAAAAAATTGCATAGCGTTGCAAGCATAGCGAAAAATCCAACCGTGGAGACGAACATAGACTACCGACAGAAGGGGTTGAAATAGGGGGTAAAAGTAAATATGAGGAGAATATTATATTTTAAGTTAGTTTGATATAATGCACATATAAAGAAATGTTGGTAATTTCACCTCTAAGACGGGTGAAGTGGGGGTTAACGTTTTTGAAACTGAAGTACGTAGAACGTTTGAAATTAAGCTAGCCTAGATGTATCAGTATGCTTTGTCTATAATTTTATCTATAAAATAATTAGAATTAACTGAGGATTTCGGAAATTTTATCCTCAAGATGGGGTAGTAGGAGATTCTATCGCTTTTCAGGTTAGGCTTATAAGAATTTATCTGCAAAGCTATTTAACCTATGAACATAAAATTTGTCAGGGAAGTAGCTCATGGACAGGGCATGACAGTTAAGAACGTATTTTGTGGGAGGACCAGATTAATGCGGGAAAAAGGTATCCACAAGTTAGCATGAATGATCTTTAATTTTTTACTAGGTATCTGGAATTTCAAACAGTAGCTGACGGTTAAGAGCAGATTGACAGGACGGGTGACAGCTAGTATGTCATAATAATTACTACCTTCATCAAGTACCAAAGGAATAAATTACGTTAGATTAGAGACATTCCGTAAACCTATTAGTAACGGTTCGTAGGCAATCCTAGGGGCCATTCTAACGACTAAAATATTCATAGTCAGTATGGCCTCCTATGATTTCAGAGCCTCTGACACTTCTACCCTGTAACCTGCAAACATGGTATCTCTTAGCACCCACATCAAATGTTTGGATACGTTGTTGCGTTAGAATCCATTTTTCTGTCTGTCACTGTCGCTCTAACCAGGGTATTCTTATAAGCCAAGGCTCAGAATCGGCAAGCCTTCACCAGATCCCGCTTTAACAGTACTTATATTACAAAGGTATACTCAATAATAGGGTCTCTGTATTTCAAATATGCTTAGTTTTAATAAAGAGGGGTCGGATAATTTGATATGTCGCGTTACACCGACAAGTAACCAATTAAAATTGTTGAACTGCTGTTCACAGCACGCAGAGGAAAGAGCGCTGAGCTCAAAGAGCTGAGAAATCGTAAGGAACTGAGGTACAATGTTTATTACATTTAATGAACCTACTGCGAATGAACGACAAAACAACAAAAAGTCTAACGTTCTGATCGATACTATCTACTTTCCCATCGCTAGCCATGGAATACTTATAAAGTAGCTACTTCTACATAAGGGTGCTCTTTTCATCAAAGTTTCTTGGAGAGTTTGGCCTGAAAGAACTACGAGAGACAAATAAGGGTTGGAAAAAAGGTTTGCGGGGCAGGATGCGCATTTTCTTTCTTTGTACCTTCACCGACTACCGATACATTTTATGAGATATAATCAATCAAATTGAAGGAGGGCCATATCACAAGATGGACGTTGTTTCGTGTTTGCGAAATAGCTTTCCCACACTTAAGACGTGTAATTAGGAGACTGAGAGAATGTTTGTATTGCGAATATTAGTCACAATATTTTAGTTTTTAAGGGATTACCATCTCGAAAATCGGAGGTAAGATTTCTCCGGAATGGCCGTAGACTGCATCCAGTTTCTATTTCTTTACTTAAATGTACCCCAGTTTTAATCTGCGACATTATTAGTCGCGTATCGCAAGTATATAAAAAACAGGTTAGGTGATCCAAATCGTTTTCGTTCGGCCGCCATGTTTGAAAATGGCCGCCAAGTTGCAAAACGGTTATTCAACATATCATTGTTACTAGTGCGCCCATTTTAGCTACCTAAAGCTCATTTGACTTATTTTTCAATGGAAACATATCTTACAATCACATATTTTTGAACATTTCAGATATCTAAATGTTTCCATTTTTTATCAACTTACTACGTCAAGTTATTCAAATGGTACTACTTCAAATGAGAAAATGTCCCATTTATGCTATGACCAATTCCGAACGTTTAAAAGTATCTTATTCAACACTACTAAAAACAGGCTTCGCTAACGTTGCCACAAAATTGAAATAATATTGCAAATCTGTCATCGTCTAGGTCCAGGCACTGAGGTCACGTACAAGTATATAAAATATCAGATCACATATCACCGCAAGAAGCTCATGACGGGACATACAAGGGTACACGTTATCTTAATGGCTGTTTCTATACATTATTTTTCGATTTCTGATATTCTGGTAACTGATTTCTTTTGCAGAAGGATATCATGTGCGGAAACAGTACGTGTATCGAATTTTACAACTTTTGGGCCAAATATTTAAAAAATGTGACGGTGTATTTTTTTCAAATTTTGAGACCCTTTAGTTCCTCTCAAATTTCATATGATGGTTTTTCAAGCTTAGCTATTTTGTTTCAGAGGAAAATTGACCTAAAACTAAAAAAAAGTGTATAAATCGTTCGTATTCCAAAGAAACAGTTGCGAATGAACTATCTTGAACATGTTAAAATTCCAGATGTTTCTATGAAATGTGACGAAATTCTATTGCCAGGTGCAAATTTTATTACAATGCTTCGCATATTAGGTGATAGGCCTAGGCATTGATACAGTTTTTTTTGCAGAACACTGTGCATCAAAAATATCGTTGGAGCTGAAATCAGTCCCTGAAGCGCACCTACGTTGATGTTGTGGGGCGAGGAGAAACAACCACCCAGTAAAACGTATAACATACAATTATAAGAAAATATTACTATTTTATTTCAGATGAAAGGAAAAAAGTGTAAAAATACCTTCCAAAAAAAATTCGTGAGTAAAGCAAAGCAGCAAACCAAAAATTCCACTTCTTATAGCACCATCCGTACTATATATCTCTAAATAATGATAATATATAACTAATGCCTATTAATGCCACAATGTGAGAAGTATTGGTGAAAGTATTTGTAAGTCCATAAGACATTCGCAGAAGAACTGACATCATATAAGATGCCATACTCGATTTCCATTTAAATGTCGCGAATTGAGTCTAGGTGCAGGATATTTTGGACTTTTGCCTTGATCAAAGTAAGGTGATGGTTTCGGAAAATTACCTACATATGTATAATTGTCGGAGAAATTTACATAAACAATACTTCAGTTTTTTGTCTACGAATCGCTTGATTAAATGTTCGGGCATTACGTAATATTGTAACAAAGAAAGTGACTAATAAAATAGCTGAATGGGCAAATAGGTAATTGCCTAATTATTTTCGCTGACGTTCGAGTCTTCCAATATTTGTAATTGTTACCAGCATGCGATTATCTTCGTGACGTTACTATACACGCTAACAATCAAATCGCAATAGTGGTGATTGTTCATTTAATCACCTGCTTGAATCAGACGTTGCACAATGAACATTTTTAAGTTTCCATTGTGAAACTATCTCCTTAGCAAACGCAACAAAGTATCTCGTTTTTTGCTTGTTGCGAAGTGAGAAGCAAGGCTGAGAAACCATTTTCCTGGAGTGCTAACTATGTATAAGGAATAGTTTGCTAATAATATCCGGTATTGTCGGTTACGTCTCACCTGACAGTATATAAAATAGAATTTTATATACCTTATATTCTACACGCGACTGTTATGAGCTTTCCTACTAAAAAAGTTCACTTCATACTTTTGAAAGCGAGCGACGGAATGTTACGTCTATATAGGTCGTTAATAAAGTACCGAGTAAGGTATCAGGTCAAACTCGAAAGGATAACTTTTTCCGTAATTCTTGACCAATGTTGCTAAAACTTGATATTTAGGAATACAAACCTAAGGCCAACAAATAAGCTCAACTCATTTAACAAAAAGGCTGTGTTATTGAAACTAGACCAATTAGGTAACCATGGAATTAAAACTGTCACTTTGAGGAGCTGACTTTTATTCACTTGTTTTTCTTATTTGGATTTTCAGCTATACTGCTGAACCGGCAATTTTGGTAAAAGTTTCACATCCTGAGCTTTCATAATACTGCAATACTTGTCTATTCCTATGTGAACTTCTCTTCCTAGGAAAAGCTAGCCCTTGAAGTTTGGTTAGGAATTTTATTAATACCCTGTTTGTCAACTAATAAAACCACACGCTACTAATTCGCATTTTGGTGCTACATAGGTTGTTGACACAAAAACAAAAGATACACATATTTACTGGACAAACAAAAACAAAAGGTTCAAATGAATATGTAGGGCTCACCTTTAAATCTCGATGTACTATATTACGGTTATGGCAGTATTCTACAGCAGACAAAATTTGCCAAAACTTAATCCTAGATTGGTCTTCAGTCATCCTACCATATCTGGCAATGTAATCTGGAACAAAAAATCAAGTTGCAGAATTTCACAACGTTCTGTTCCACGTGGTCATAGTGCATTTTTCTGATAAAAAAGTACTGTCAAGTTGATCAACTTGATATTTCCCATAATTCAAAAAGCAGCATTATCTATTATGACTCCACAGCATGCTTTTATATTTAATAACACCAACAGACAGACAGAGACTGACAAACATAATGAGAGACAACGACTTTCAGAAAACCATGTCACTCATTTCCGTATCTGTCTGACGGTCTGTCTGTCGGTCTATAACTTGAAAAGTACCCCTCGGACTTAAACGAAATTTCCACACAAGATTGCTACTATGTCAAGGACGGAAAAGCTTTATAGTTTTTGAAAATCGGTCCAGTGGTTGTGGAGAAAATACCCAAAACGAAAAAATGAAAGTCCCACACTCTCCCAGATCCGGAAATTATATGCACCTGTCAGCCATATCTCACACATCATAGATTTCCTCATACATTTGCCTTTAAAACTTAGATTGAAATTATTCATTCCTGCTATCTAAGCTCACTTCCCGGCGAACCGGTCCGGCTAACTAATCTATCCGTACTGCAGCACAAAAGATACATACACGGACCACGCACGAGATGTGGAAAGGGACAACGTTGTCAGATGGACAGTAACTTTCTAAGGACATGGAAGAAATGTCTATGGACTAATTGTATGGGTCTATTTGACTGACTTGATCTGTTTAGTCTCACTGCTGTACATGTTAGTAACTGATTTTTTCTCGGGGGACTTAAATTGCACTGAACTGATCCTTTATGAACTGATAACGGCGTAACCTACTTCACGCCATTTTCTTATAATGGTCTGAACAATTTTGGGCACAAGATGAGAGATGGTTGACGCTAAACGATAGGAGACAGATGGTGTATATGTCGTACGTTTATAAATTATATTGTAATTTCGTAGAAAGTATTTTAAAATAGAATTATTAAAACTATATAAACTTTCTTGCCAACTAAACGCACGTGTAATAATGAATGGGTATTTGAATATCAATGAAAATCTGTTCTGCTTTATGTGTGTTTCAGCGAATGAGTCACTAATTTGGTTATAAATTGCTATTCTACATCTCAAACCATTTCACTACATTTACATATACGGCTTTACCCACTGCAGTTTTTGGTGTGGAAAATAAAAGAGTCAGTTATGTTTTTGCTTTATTAAAAACTCAAATTCCCATGGCCTTCTAGATGCCTAGACTTACGACTTGTGATTCATTCTCTTTTGATTAGTTTTTCAAAAATACACCTGTGAACGAGGGCAATTATAAGCTTTCTTTCTTAAAGTTCGTTTTAATATCCCTGAGAGCACCACCTCTCAAGGTTAGATCTGATACGTTATATTAACACCCTGTATTTCACGGAGCATTTTCTTGTGTAAAATAAGTTCATTATTGGAATGAACGGTATGTAAAGTTGCAAATATAAATTTGAAGGTTTTTGTGCATAAAAAAGAGAAACAATGATGCATTTTTGTCTTTTTACTAGTACAATGATAAATCAGTTTTTTAAATAGATGGACAACAAACTAACTACCTACAACACTGTTAATGCATAGTGATATTTGTATGCGATGGCAGAATTTTAATTTTTCCAAACTGTATTGGCATAGGTTGACGAAGTAACCTTGTAACACAAATTATGTAAGCTGCTTAGATATCCTTAATTTAGCTCATACAACTACGACAAACTCACACTACTTTATCTCCCATCCTTCTCTGAACAGCATTGTCAATATGTTCAGGAAAAGCAATAAACGACGTCCCCAGAGAACATGTCAAAGCGAGGCTCGAACTTCGAGTTCTTTGTCAATATCCCAATATTTACACGCCCTGATGTTTAAGGATAATAACCTAAATCAAAAGGAAACCGTCGCTCGGTTGGTCCCGCTTCGACCTGGACGTGAATAAGCAGATAATTCCAGTTTTAATTTGTCAATTTCCAATTATTAAAGCTTCGAATAATTGTCCCCGTTTTCTATCACTCCGAGGCTTTTCCCCTCGAAGCGGAACTTCTCGATCCAATTTTGCGCGTTGTCGGACCAGCGGAAGTTAATGGGATCATTGTTTGATTGACGGGAAAACAGTTGTCGGAAAAACACCCTCATGTGGTGGAAATGCATTGGTACAATTAAAAAGTGGTTGTAAGTAGGTTGGCGATGTTTCGCTTGCGATGATATCGGTTCAGAGATAAGGGTTGACGAACTTTGGTACTGATAATAACCGGGAGTCAACAAAATAGACAATATTTAAATACTTTCATAAAAACTGAATCCTTAAAAATGAAATAACTTTTAGTACTTCCTAGTAATCCAAGTGCATCAACAGTACAAGTCCAAAAATGCAATTTTATGGAAGTTTTTTTTGCTTTGCATAAGTACTAATGGAGATATTTAAATCAAAATCTCGACGACTTTAGCAACTAGTATTCAGTCCTTGGATGTTTGAAAATTTTACTTATTTTCCCGATGCCTTGATGAAAATAAGCCGTGGTCATGGATGCTTAGTTGCTCCAAGCCTACCCGGAGTTCAATATCCGTACAGCAGAACTAAGCTATTTATCGTGGTTCCAGTATTGCACGTGTTACAAGATTGCCAGTATTATCTTATCCAACACTTTCCATCAACCTTTGACAATTTGTAACGCAGAACGAGCTTTTGTCGCATTATAAGTTGCATTCAATACTGTTCCTAGGTAAAGGATACTTCTTCATGAGAATAAGTTGTTTTCATTACTAACCTGAAAGTTCGCGATTATTTGCCGCATTCCTATGAGAAGAAGTTACATTTATCTCCCTAGGTAAGTAATGATGAGGGATAACTCTATGTTAGCTTCAGAATATATGTTACATTCTGTACTATAAGAAGGTTGTTACCTGCAAAATACGTCAGTAAAAAGTAGAAGAAGACGCCTCACTTGGCACAAGCATTGTCTAATACACGTGAAAGCATTATTACGCATACTATTGTACTTACCATATTCTATTAATAAAAAGATTCACCCGCGTAAGCTACCAACAATCCCGAGCATATACGTCAGACCTCATACATGAGTATGTATTTAGATTCAGTATGCCTGAATAAAACCTTATCACTACATAGTTGAGTAAATTATTCTACTCAAATGACGCATATACTATACATACGCATTTGCCTCACTGTACTAAATATTAGTATCGAAGAATATGCGTTCATGTCTTTGTCCTATGTTCATTATTTTCCAATTTGCCATCAGAATGCAAATAAATGGAGGGTCCTATCGTACTTAAATTTTTTATCCAGCACTTCACTAACTTAAGGTTCCATAAAGTATAATAACGTTCTTTCTAGTCATACAAATATACTAAGTGACATATAAATCCGAACACCCAGTTTAAATGGTTTTATTTTAATAAAAGTTGGTGAATGTATTTATCTTGCTGTAAATAATAAGTGAAAAAATTTTCAGCCTCATCAGTTGGACATTCCGGTTTTTATACTGCTTTTTTTTAATTCACTAACGCTCTAAAATGAATATTTCAGCCACAGTAAAGAATCAACGTTGGCGGATTTTGGTTCTTGACATCCTTTACGATCGGATACGATGCCTAGAGTACGGAGACCTGTACGATTTCGTCAACTTAGCGAGTTTGATAGGTGCCGTATAGTGGGACTTCGGGAAGCTGGACTTTCTTTTCGGGCAATTGCAGTTAGAGTGCAAAGAAGTGCAGACACTGTGGTTAGGTGTTGTCAGGCATGGCTTCGAGAAGGCCGTACGCAAAGAGCAAGGGACACTGGACGCCGCCGTAGAACAACAGACCGTGAAGATCGCCGCCTAAGATTATTGGCCTTAAGGGACCGTTTCTCCACTACCAGGTCCATTGCAAATGAATGGTTTGCAGAACACGGAAGACCTATCGGCATGCGAAGTGTTTACCGACGAATGAGGAGTTTTGGCTTGTTTTCATACCGGCCACACTGGGTCCTCCCTTTAACTCGAGAACACCGACGTAATCGCCTTGAGTGGTGCAGACAACGGTCACTCTGGGATCAGGAATGGAACAGTATTGTCTTTAGTGACGAGTCTCGGTTTTGTTTAGGCATGCACGATTGTCGTGCCAGGGTTAGAAGGCGACATGGTGAAAGGAGGAATCCACAGTTTTTTGTTGAAAGACATGTTCATCACACTGTTGGAGTTATGGTTTGGGGTGCTATAGCTTATGGTTCCACCTTTAATATTCATCAGAGGTAACATGAACGAACAGCGTTATATCCACGAAGTTCTAGAACCCCATCTTTAACCCTATCTTGACACCCTGGCAGATCCAACTTTCCAACAAGATAATGCCCGACCACATGTTGCAAGAGTCATAATAGACTTCTTTCAACATAATGATGTCACATTGTTACCATGGCCACCAAGATCTCCCGACTTATCCCCAATTGAGCACGTGTGGGATATGATGGGTAGGAGATTGCTCAATTTGCAACGTCCTCCTCAGACTCTAGAAGCACTTCGAGAGGCGTTGGTGGTTGCCTGGAATGAGATACCACAGGAGGACATTGACCACCTGATCAGAAGCATGCCTAGGCGCGTTGGAGACTGCGTAGCACATCAGGGTGCATCCACACATTATTAAAGTTCAAAGGGCTTTACAGCAGTGCAATAATTTTGAAATCTTTATCATTTACTTATTATGCTTCATTAAGTACTTATACAAAATTTTATTAAAATAAAACCATTTAAACTGGGTGTTCGGATTTATATGTCACTTAGTATACATCTTTTTGCTACAGAAGAGACAATATTCGATGTGTATTAAGGTACGTTTATATTGCAACAAGCTTCCGGTACTACGTAAGATGGGTTTGACACATATACTTCCAAGTTTTTGTATGGAAAGCGTACCTTCAGGATACATTGTGTATGAATCAAAATAGCTTCTAATTATAATGTTCATTTGTGATTTTCGTCCAGTACTTTTCTTTTCCCTCTAACCTGCAAAGGCAATATTATCTCTAATTTTCCTGGGCGACTGAACTTTGGAATTTTGTGGTTAGGATTAACCGCTTCAGCGTAAGAGAGTGAATGGGCATCCAGATACGATTTTTCTATGTACTCACGAATAGTGGATAGGTTCTAATTGTTTTTACTGAGCGATGGCTTGGCATTCATTGAAGATGGTACGAGGTGGTTGCAGCTAGGACATCTAGCTGATACAAGATCCTGCGGGGGCGGCACAGGGTGCAGCAGTAATAGCAGGTGGAGGTCACCCTCAAGGTCATCCGAGGCTTCCAGAGTGAACTTGAATGTAAAGCTTCCGGGATTATTATTTATTATTGGTACATTTATTTGGGTGGAGAGATTTTCAGCCCAGATGGTGAATGGATACTAAGTGTGGATGTCAGTTTGTGTGCTCTAAAATGTATATTATATGATTTAGTTATATACATATATAATTATTCATTTTGTAGGTTTAGATGAGTTTTTTTATATTAAAGATATGAAAAGAAGCCCGTGTTTCATTCTTAAACAAACAAAACATTTGGATGAACGCGTTGAAGGTTGTCTTCAGCCGCTCTGCGCCCGTCAAAAGCCTCTGAAGTTGTTTGGTTTCGGGGTAAGCTCACCTGACAAACAAAGCTAACTTAGCTCTAGCAGACAACGACAAATGATATAAAAATCTGTGTTGCTTGTCATAATAACCCTTCTCTTCCAAATCAGCATGGGGACGAAAAACGGGGATTATCCATACAAACGGTTTCAAAGATTCAATTTAATGTATCCTCCCTGGTGAGCTCAAGTACCCATCGTGTCATCTATAAAATTATCCAGTGTATTAAGGCACTTAGCATAATGAGCCTGTCTCACGTAAATCAGAAAGATTTAGGTGAGCACTTAAAATAGTTTCAACACTTACGTCGACAATTATAGCTCGTATGAATCAGAGAATTCATAAACAAAAGCGCTAAAATTTCTAGGAAACTATTAGCGGGCGGGTGTTTCGATTTTTCAACCTAGGAATGCTGCATCTCACGGTCACTGGACGACGCCAAATCTAACGTCGCGACGCTGAGCGTCAGGCGTCCGTACACTGCCATGACGTCACTTCCCAATCGACGTCAAGGTTTGGACGCAGCATATCGCTGCTTAAGTTCTAACACCACCTAACTCAAAACACCGCCATATATCATAACTTCAGATTTGGGGGTTACTGCATGTTCAACGTGTACAGGATAGTTTAACATACTGTTATTCTGTGCAGAAAATCCTGGATGAATCACCTTTTCTGACGTTTGTCTATAACCGGTAGATGGTTTTTGACTGCCGAACGCGGAAGTACCACCCGGCGGATCTCTAATTCGGGGCCAGAATATGTGCATGTTGCATGGACACGTGCTCCCTCACTAAAGTCCGCGTGGCGTCCCCCCCCCTTCCCCCTGTACCCTCCTAAAGCCCTACGGTACGCTTTGGGCCTTCGTGGTGGTACTAGTATGAACAAAAATCAGAAAAGAGCTTCGTAGTTTCCATTCACTCACCAAATATCTCCCCTTGGCTAGCGTACTCCGAAACTAGATATATCATATTCTTCGTTTCCATGACCTGCAACAAAAAAAAAATGGCTCAGTAACCCAGCAGAAAAGTAAATGCTACTGAAACATATTCAAATGTCTATTGTGCTATTGGCACAAAATATGTCATTTGTGGCCAGTATCAAACCACCTATACCTAACAAACCAGGAAGTAAGAAACTTTTCAAAAACTAAATAACTCCTTCAAAAAATCAATAATAAATCATTGAAGATTTTACTATACTGTATGACGAAAAACGTCAAGTTTTTAAGGTGGACATTAAGAGTATTTCATTATTGTTATGTTCACACGGAGTACAAGTATGTTGTATCTATTGTGTATAGTAGGTGCCTATGATAATAATAATAGTCATGGCGCTCCGACAAAACGTTTATGATCAGTATCTACTGAATATTTTTTCCTGGGGTCGGAGACGATAGGACTACTTTGCACACGTGCTGCGATGTTGCATTTTTTTCTTCACGGCTTGTAGTTGTAGGTAACTGTGCCAGTATAGAAGATGTTACAGATAATGGAGTGAGTTAAAAAATATTGGCTTTCTCCAATATGTGAAATGTGTTGAAATAAATGTTCATCCAGACATAAATGTTTTATTTATTGAGTAATAGCTCACTTGTGAACAATAAATCAAAGGACGATGAAATAATACAATAAAACTGGTATAAATTATAGTAACCGGATTTCGTTCACTCAAGTTCATTACCATGTCATTAACATTTGATAAAAGCAAATAAGCTCCATGTAAAAATTTCCTCATATCTTCAATAGTACTCACGCTTGTTAGTCATTATCATTGCCGTGCATTTGTGATAAAAAATGAGTGATCTTAGTTCCTCTACCCATTTAAACCGTTCAATCTGCACAAAATGCTCCATATCTGGTCTTTTCTAGAAGCATTCCAGACCAGAAGGAGAACGTTTTCACGATTATTGATGAAAATTCTATTTCTATATAAAAGACATCTTCACATAGGTCGGAATAGTTTTATTTGGAAAAGAAAGAAGCAAGCAGACATCCATTTCGTATTCTTCCTATCGTGCCCATGGTATTGATATCCCATACAAATGGCTTAGACAGTCAGAATCTCGATAGAAACTTTTGGTTCAATAAATGAAAGCTCAGCTCCGAATTAAAATTTTATGTAAACAACTCTTTAGTTAGTGGCTAATACATTAACAAAGATAAATACTCGTATATTGAGCGAGATCACGGTCATTTCCTGATCCGGTAGCAGTAACAACTGCTGTTAATTTCCTTAAACTTAGCGCAATCTTGTTTTCGTTGTAGGAAATTACACCGATTAATTATAATTGCGATGCTATTTTCCAACGTTGTATCTCACTGAGATAAAAACCCAGCTGTGATTATTTATTTTGTGGACGCGTGGAACGAATAAAAGTTGATCCTTTCCTTGTTTATTATACAATAGCGCTCTTTTTAATTTAAACCTACTTTTCCTAACGCACAGCGTCGCCAAAGGTTAAGAGCCTGAATACAACAAATTGTTCTTCAATGCAGATGTATCTCGGCTTCTTACCAGTTACAAGCACACAAGGTGTTTCCTAATTGAATGTCAATATTTAAGGAAGAAACTTTTTGGGTCCATTTTGAGGAGAAATCTTCATATGGACGTATATCCTAGAGCTCTCAACTTTTGAGATACAGGCTGAAAAACCTTTCGACATAGAAAGTTAGCGGCACTCCACTGACTTTAATTGAAATAAAAAATCTATATTCACTTATAATCAGGTTTGATTTCTTGATTTCTTTTAATGCGTCGTACGAATCTCATCTAAAGCATAAATGATATTTATCTGCATGGTGAATATTGTCATATTAGTGACATTGAAAACTACGCATCGGATTAAAATAAATCAAGCACTCAAATTTAGTACCGTCAATGTCTGCCAAAATGTGCAGGTCAAATTTCGAAGTAACGCCACTGGTTGAATTAAAAAAAAAACGTAGTAGATTAAAAAATGCCTATTGATCATAGCGCATTTAAATTTATAAAGTGGTATTGACAGATATTAATAATGAATCCGTCCCATTAGAGCAGAACTATACCATGTCAAAAACAGCAATGCACCCTTCTGCAGATAAAACAGTTCAGCGCAACAGGGATAGAAGCGTAAGATATAGATTAAAATTTTATAACATGATAAAAGCAAAATTTGTAAATTTGTGACATGGATAATTCTGCTCTATGGTGAAGAATTATTTATTTGTGAATACTTTGCCACCCTGTATCCGAAAAGTTAAGTCATTTAGGACATACACGCAGATGAAGTTTTCCCCTAAAGTGGTCCCAGAAGTTATCAATTACGGAACACCCTGTATAGTCACAGCTATGGTATCGAATTGAATGCAGCAATAACCGGTGGCCGTTCTGTTCCAAATCTAGTTTCCGTATCTTGTGATAAAGAGCCGCTGTATATGAATTTAGAGCTTCTCTCAATGCAATAGAAAGATAAGGTTACTATAAATAACGTACAAAACATTCCATGACAAATTATCAAAATATATGTACAGAAGGTTCATTAAGATACATTTGTATGGTCTGTGGAAGCGATCCTAATTACGAAGTTATTAATAATTTGATATCAATGTTACCTAAATCGATTAGGTCGCCCAAGAACTAATGGCGTCCACTAGAAGCGCTAGTATCCATTTGCTTATTGCCAAGCTCATACATTTGATTACAGAGTTTGTAAGTGACTTCCACAAAGAACAAATGAATATCAAATAGATTGTGCTCCTTGATGATACCTTTCCACCATTACCAACGTAAATAAAATACTACGAGCAAGAACTTATATTCAGTTGACCCAAAGAATTGAGACTAGCTAGAAGGAGCCAGTCAAGGATTTGTTTGTATCCTTATTCTCATAGTCTGTAGAACAACATGCACTTGACAGTCAATTTTTTGACCAGACGTGATACTTCTAACATAATTTGCAAAGGGCGACACAAGAAGGTAGATGCTTCCACCGATAAGTATTACGTTAATACATCGCTGTTACTTTGGTAAACATTGGTAGACAAAAGAGTCAAAGGTATGCACTAAAAGTCCGCAATTTTAGTGACAAACAATGTAATGTGTACGTACAGGCTTGGATCGTCCTCATCTCCGCATCGCTGTTCCTCAACGTGGAACACATTTAAAGGATTCTGAACTTTGGTTTCACGTTTTTTGCATTCCTGATTATTTTAGCAAAAGGAGTTCAAATTTATCCAAAATATACGTGGACATAATCATGAATCAATGTCAATATTTATGTGGAAAATAAAAAGATGATATTTTGACCCTTGTTTTGACATGTGTGTACATTTCAAAGATCACTGTTAGTTACGAAGGTTATACAATAACATTTTGCATAAACATGTCACACGAAGCGCAATCTAAATCTAAACTATTGCAACGTTGATGTATATTTGGCAATATCTCATTAGAAATGTATCTTCTTTCAAATGAACAAGAAGATAGGACTGCTTATTAACGTCATGAACAAAAAGATAATAACATTACAAAAGCACATAATTTGATTAGGTTTTTTGTAGATACTGCAAAACGTTGAGACAATTATACTTTACGTAATATGAAATCTCATCAGTATTATATAACTAAGATAACTACCATTACCACAGCTTCTTAGAACTAGTAGTACTTTATGTCCTTTTATATGTGGATTAATGATAAGACGTTAATGAAAATCATTACAAATCATGACAAAGCAGTGTTCCATCATTATTTTCAAATTTGTTCTCTTAAAAAAATGTTCATCATGCGTAAAGATGGAAACCCGGAATGAGTTAGAAGCCAAAACCTTCAGTATCTGACGTAATTTACTGCATCGCCACAAAATCGCGTTTGGGAGGATTATGTAACAGAGAAACTAAACCCTCAAACAGGTCCGTACAATTAGCCCGTAGACATTATTTCCCTCTCTTACTGGCAGTACCGTCCGTCTAGCAACGTCTCCTCTCTCGGATACCTGACCGCATAACGCATCAGCGCGGCAGTAATGCCAGGACATCTACTGAGACAGGCACGCCCACCGGTGAACCCAGAGAGCAGAAACAGGGACGAGTATCGGGGAATATATGACGTGTGGAATATGCCTAATAAATGCGTAGAATTACCGAGGTTAGGAACGTATAAAAATACACACATTAAAAAACATATATTCTTCCGCACTTCCCTACAATTCCCACTTCCCAATTTATTCCAAAAATGAACAGGATCTTATGGAACGTCAAAAAACGTAATTTGATCGAGTTCTATTTTTTTCATTTTTGCCCTTTTTCTCCGTCACCGCTGGACCGACTTTTAAAAAACTACAAAGACATTAAATCCTTGGCATAATAGTAACCTGGTGAAAAAGTTTCATCAAAATCCGAGCAATACTCTCCAAGTTATAAGCTAACAGATACACTAACAGACCCGAAAGTCAGACTGACAAACCGACGGAAATGAATACCCCGGATATTTGTGATTTATGTGTCATACAATATCTAAAGAAACATAACATCTCATTTTTGATATTTTCCCACCACTATGAGTGGGAAGTAAAAATTCTAGGGGTATATTCATACATCACGCGATTTGGCAATCGTCTAGATAGCGGCAGTGATGTGAATAATAAGGGCAGATATTTATGTATTTTATGATTTAGAACTCATAATTAAGGTGCTTTCTAATTGGACTGTTCTAGATATATAGCTTTGTCACCGCTTGAAGTGAAAATAATAGTCAAGCAGTGTCTAAACTATAAAGCATTACAACTTCATTTTGAATATGACAATTTTACACAGATAAAGTATTGCTTGGGTACTGCCAAATATCTGCGCTCATTATGTGAATGATATTTCACAAATAAATTAGCCCAATGAAAGTTTATGAATGCACTATATTGATACTTTAGCCAAAAAAACAATGATTTCATGTTATCTTCGTCCAACAATATCACAGCCACTATGAAATATAGGGCTGTCATCGCAAGTAATCT